ATTTCCGTGCATGTACACATATCTATTTTAATATTAAAATAGGAGTCACATGGTTTTTATTATCTGCTTCCTCCCCGACCCCCCACCCCAGACTTCTTTTGGAGAACCTTTCCAAATGCCTATGTAGCATTCCATTGTATGGCTATACTTTAATCAACCCCTTATGGACGGTCAAAGTGATTTTTAATAGACAAATACTGGCATCTGTTATGACCTGGGCTAAAAACTATTTAAAACCTTTGGATGAAAATTATGATTTTTTTCAATCTTCCAAAAATTTTATTTAGAAGTGGTAGTGTGTATCTTGAATCTCAAACATAGTTTTAACATCTTGTAAGTAATATTTCCAGATTCTTAACAGAATGTGAATCACTTTTTAGGAGCTGTTGGACAAATACCTTATTCCCAATGCTACACAACCAGAAAGTAAGGTGTTCTACTTGAAAATGAAAGGCGATTATTTTAGATATCTTTCTGAGGTGGCATCTGGAGACAATAAACAAAGTAAGTAACTTTTTTTTTTTTTTAAGAAATTTGACCAATAATGGAGCCAGTCTTCATAATAATTTGAAGTTTTTGCTTTGTTTGTAGTCAGAATTTAAAGGACCACAGCATTGTGCTGACCAGTGTTAAACAGGGTCATGGGAGTTGACAAATGTATCTAAGGGGCACGTATGGGGGCATTAAAAGTGTGGTGCAGTAGTGCATTTAAAGAGGTCTTTATTTTAAGGATTATTTGGTAGCTCTCTTTTAGAGATGAAACTTCAAAATGTTTGGTAGAACGAAACCATCATAGTAAATAGAGATGCATTTCTCTTGTCATATACATGCATTAGTGTAATGGTGACAATTATAACTATGCCTTATTAAGTGCCTCCTGTGTGTCTCATTTATCCCTCACACAACGCTAGGAGTGTAGGTGGGAGTCTGTCCTTTTTTTCTGATAAGGAAACCAAGGCTCACAGAGGTTTTCACTTAGTCCAGACCACACACTGAATGAATAAGAGTTGGGGATTCCAGCTTTGAGTCTGACTCTGAAGTCCATGATTTTTCCATCAGAGCTCACTGTTTTCCATGTCCTGTCTTGTTCAGGGTTATTCCTGTATTTCCTAACTGCTTTTGTAGACGTCGTCATCATGGTCTTTGTTTTTCCTCAAAGCATTTAATATGGTACTTGGATTGGAGTACACATTGAACAAAGGATTGTTAATCACATGGTAGAGACACTGACCCTCGTCTGATAGCGCATGTGCTCCAGCCCAGTTTGGTAAAATAATTTGATAGTGGATCCAGCATATGATGCAATCTGTGAAAGACCCAACATTTCATATTTTTTATCTTTCTTATAGCCACTGTGTCAAACTCCCAGCAGGCTTACCAGGAAGCATTTGAAATTAGTAAGAAAGAAATGCAGCCTACACACCCAATTCGACTGGGCCTGGCGCTTAACTTCTCCGTCTTTTACTATGAGATTCTAAACTCTCCTGAAAAGGCTTGCAGCCTGGCAAAAACGGTGAGAAAGACCCTCTGTGGTTTCTCTTTTTTTTTTTTTGGCAGAATTTTTTTTTTAATTTAAATTTATTTATTTTTTATTGGGGTATAGTTGTTTTACATTGTTGTGCCCTCTGTGGTTTCTGATCATAGTAAAACTGCTTGTGCTTTTTGGTACCTTTTTTAAATTACCTGAACATAACTCATTTTCTTGGACTTTTGTGAAGATTTTTCTGGGGGTGGAGTATATATCTTTTATGGAATAAATACACACCTATTGCTGCTTGACTTTTCAGTGCCTTCTGCTGATTTTTGTTTGTGTTGTTTGATTACTCTTTTGGGGCTGGGGGTGGTTGTGGACAATCCAGGGAGAAGGTAGTTTGTTGTTTTTGTCACGCTTTGGACTGTAGGCCTCCACTGTATTGTACATTGTCATCCTTGTACCAAGATTGGAGGTTATGGCTTGTAAAGGAAGGAAATCATATCTTGTTTTCTTTGTTAACTGAATTACCTCCTGTCTTCTTTTGGTAACCCAGCTGCCTTTTCTACATATTTTTGTAGTCTTTCAATATGCACACTCTTTTAAAATTTTTTAGTTGGTAAAAATGTGTGAAATGAATGCTCAAAGTTCCATCGCTTAATTGAATCAGATTTAGTGGTGTGAACTTCTGTTCTCCATTTATCCCTTGTATCCAGACCTTTTGAGTTTCAGCTTAAAGAAAAAGGGCGGATTACTAGAAACGTCTTTGGTAATTGAAAAATCATGTGAGTTTGCTTAGAATGAGTGTGCTGGGTTAACAGTAATACCTGTTGACTTAATAGGTAAAGGTCATATCTAGGAATTTTTGTCATTTTTGGTTGACACTTGGTAAACCAGCATCATGTGTTTGCTGACATAACTAGCAAACAAGGTAACAATGACCTAGGTTCCCCCAAAGTACTGTACAGAAAGAGAAATGATAGTCACTTGTTAGCAGAAAAACATTGGGCTAAACTAGTTCCAAGGAACCTGTGACTTCTTTGCTGAAGGCTCTTTGTTTTAGGCATTTGATGAAGCGATTGCTGAATTGGACACACTGAATGAAGAGTCTTACAAAGACAGCACCCTGATCATGCAGTTGCTTAGGGACAATCTCACTGTAAGTACTGCTGATTCCATGAGTGCTTCTGGAGGGCTTATAGCTTATTCCCATTCCTCTACCTCGTAATTCACTCTTGCCTAAGACTCAAGAGGGGATTTGTACCCTGTAAGTGTAGTTAAGTTTTTTAATTGGTTATAAGTGCCTACTGAAGTTTTGACCTTTGCCATCACTGTCTGCAGTAATATAGGAAGAATTTTAAACAGTTGAATGAGATGAGATGATACACACTGGGCCACCTCCCTGAGGAAGCTTTTAGTAGCCCTACTTTGTTTATAGCTCTGTTTTTCTTTTGCAGCTGTGGACGTCGGAAAACCAGGGAGATGAAGGAGATGCTGGGGAGGGAGAGAACTAATGTCTGTTGTGCTTTGTGATCTCTTCAGTGTCACTCTGTACCCTCCACGTATATCCCTTTGTGCGATAAAAAAAAAAAAAAAGAATCGTACGTCGACTTTCAGTTTTTCACAGCCTCAGCCTAGCAAAAATGGTCCATGGGATAAGCAGCTGGTATTTGTATCTAAAACTCAGATTGGTCACATAAATGCCACGGCATTCTGAAGTTTTGATTTTGATGAACATTGACAGGATTACTGTGTGTTTAATTTTTTAAAAAAAACTGAACACTGTGATTATGGGGTTTTGTAATTTAGCAGAACTCTTACTGGTAGAAAACAAAATAGACCTGAATTATGTGTAACTTTTTGGAAAGTTTAATTCAATTCAAAACAGTCAGTGAAACACAGTTCCATTGTAAAGTTGTACAGAAAGTTATAGAGATTATATTGTGACACTGGGACTTGGAGTGAGACACCTCTAGTTTGGCATTCGAGTTTCATGGTAATTCACAGTGATTCTGCCTGTTCTGTTCAGGGCTTGTAGACACTTGACCCGTTGGGGCTGTTGCCACTCAAAGGTTCATGACTGCGGATGGCCACAGTGTCTTCCTCTGAGGACGGTCGAAGCCAGAAATTAACATTCTTGGTGGCAGATACCTGGCTTAGGACACCATGCAGAGGTCCAGTGCTCACAGGCCACACGTGATTCCAGCCCCTTTCCTACAGCAGCATGTTACTGATTGGCAACTTGTGCTTCCATAGTGGAATCTGTTTTCCCTGTAACCACGAGCTCAAGAAGGAAAAAAAAAAAAGCCGTGTATCTTATGAATGGCCTTATCTGTTTCCTGGGTAACATCTTTAAGAATAATGTTCTGCAGAGATTGCCTTTCACTTGAGGAGTAAGTACTCAGTCTTTAGGTTCTTCCTGGCTCGGGGCTTTAAAATTTTGAAATCTAAACATTCTTTCCCACTGTCCTTTCTGACTATTGACTTTGGTTTTCTCTTCTCTCTCTCAATTTCTGTCCTTCAGCTTCCTTACATTGTTTTCTTTGTGCATTCTCTTTCTCTTTGCCTCTTGCTCACTGTTTAGTACTAGATGAGCAGGGACAGGGGACCTGGAGGGGGTGAGGGATGTTGATGAGCACTTCGGTGAGCCAGCCTTGCTTCAGAGAGTTGAAAAGAGCTTCCCACATCTCAGCTCTGTCTTCTTCCAGTTCTCAGAACGGTGGTTGCTCTTCAGTCACACCAAGATCTGACTCAAAAAAGTATTTTTAACTATCCATGGTTTCTCCTTACATTGCAGCCAGCCCTGATGATGCTTGTTAGCACCTGTCACCAGCTCTCCCAAGTGTACCCATCCTGTCAAGTTCACAGACACGTTTCAACAAGACCCTGTAATGCAGGGAAGTTGCATGAACATTGCGATGGGGAGAGTTGGGAATAGCCAGGCCTACCAGTCTCACAGTATCCCCCCCCCACCCCGAACATTCCCCATAGCCGTAGTGTCCATCTGTTTGTCCATCTGCTGAAATGAGAAACATTCATGCACTGATTTCAAACAAACCAAAAGGAAAAAAAAGAAAAAAAAATCCCTCTCCTTTCTAGCTGAACAAAAATGTGCAGTTAATACTTGGCGCTTGAAAACGCAGTAGTGAGCGTGGAGCGAGCCTGTCTGTGTATCTGGTAGCGCTCTCGCTTTGTTTTTCCTCACCAGTATTCTGCCTCACGTTTGCTTCTGTGATGGTTATATTGCCTAGCAAGCACACCTGTGGTTGTGAAAATAGTATAGCAAAAAAGAAAAAACCCCGGTCATTGATGTACTCGATTTGTGTATGTCTTTTAAACAGTTCTAGTTTCCACCTTACACGGAATAATCAGGAAAAGTGTAAAAACTCAAAAGTGAAATAAAAAATTTTATCAGTTAGTTGGCCTGTGCGTTGATGTGTGGCGCCGCCTGTATCACCACCAGAACTAGCTAACTGTTCGGATCACACTTACTTAGGGCTCTGCTCCTTAAAAGGAGGGAGCAGCTTCATTTCATCCTTTAGAACCAGAAGTCGAGGGCCTGGGAAGAAATTGCCATGAATTAACACAGAGCCTGTCCACCTTCCACCACAAACCATCCAGGTGTTAGGTCCTCTCTGTGGCTTCTAAGACTTGATATGGACTGTTAACTTAGCATCCCACTCACACAGCACCACCACCACTTCCTCTTTTTTAAAAAACTCTGAGATGTGCCCAAGCCAGTGAGAGATGGTAGCGTAAGTCCTGGTCATCTCCAAGGTTATACGAGTCTCTCACCTGTCCTAACACTGTCTAAGATAGCCCGTGGCACAGAGATTCCTCATGGGATTTGCCCCCATCTAAAAACATCCACATTGGGAATTCCCTGGTGCTCCAGTGGTTAGGACTTGGCGCTTTCACTCACAGGGCCCAGGTTCGATCCCTGGTCAGGGAACTAAGATCCTGCAAGCCACAGGGTGCAGCCAAAAAACAAAAACAAAAACAAAAAACAAATAAAAATGTCCACATTCCCACAAGGATCGGGGAGGGGGTCATGACAGGGATGTATTTAAGCCCCAGATTAGAATTGGTTGTTAACTTTCTTGCTAGTATAGGTGGGGCAGCCAGACCCACTTCTGCTCCTGGCTCCCAGGCTGTTCCACCTGTCGTGCCCAACCAGCGGTCAGTGGGAAGCTACCACCTGTTCTATTGAAGCAGGAACTAGGAGGGGCCCAGTGAAGTATCCGTCCACAGTGGACTGGACCAGCTTCTTTCAAAAATGACCCTATACCACAGATTGGGGCTGCAAACTAAGATTGAGGGAGGGGTCTTGGTGCTTGGTTTGGGGCCACTGCCGTGACCTTGTTCTGTTAGGCCCCTGCTGTTTCCATAGAGGCTGGGCCCCAAAGAACTCGGTGAGCCTTCGTGGTGGAGCGCAGGTGGAGTGGATTCGTTGAGAAAGGTGCTCAGGATACGTTCCACGAAAAGGTCTTGGCAGTAGAAGAACCAGGGTCAAGAAAGGCCTTTGTGGTCTACAATTCTCACACGGAGCCTTCGGCCCCAAACCACCAAGCCGGTTCGAGAAGGCTGGGACTAGATCCGGACTGTCTTGAGAGAAGGCCTCCTCTCGGGAGGGTAGGTACGCAAGTTTTGAAACAGGGCATCCTGCTCGCAGTTCTCCCGTTTGTGCGTGAAACGTGCAGAGAGCACACGCTCGCCTTTAATCCTTGTGTAAAGGGAATCCTCCTAACTTCACGGAGAAGGGAAACGGGCGCAGGAGAACAATGACTAATGGGGATTAGAACCCAGGTCTCCTACCGTGGTATCCCCGCCCTCTCTGCGCCGCTGGCGCCGGCTCGGAGCTCCCCCCACGTACCCGCAGCCCTACCCGGGGCCAGGTGAGGGCTCTCCCCGCCTCCCGTCGCGGGGGCAGAGATGCCCCCCACCTGGGGCTTCTAGAAGGCTGAGGGGTCCCAGGTGCGGGGCGGGGTCCGAGCGCGCCCGCGATTGGCGCGCGGGGCGGCGGGGGAGGTAAAGGCCAGGGGCAGAAGGGGGTGGGAAGAACCCGGCCGCCCCGCGCGCCCCCGCTGCCGGGGTGAGCGCACGTGGGCGCCGAGCGCGGGGCCGCGCGCCCACCATGAACTCCAGCGGCCCGGGTTACCCGCTCGCTTCGCTCTACGCGGGCGACCTGCACCCCGACGTGACTGAGGCCATGCTCTACGAGAAGTTCTCGCCCGCTGGCCCCATCCTGTCCATCCGCGTGTGCCGCGACGTGGCCACCCGCCGCTCGCTGGGCTACGCCTACATCAACTTCCAGCAGCCGGCCGACGGTGAGCCCCTGGGGGAGGGGGGCGGACCGACCCACCTACAGACAGGCAGACAGCATCCCAGCCACCCGCGCGCGCTTTCATCTCTGGCTAATCCTGCAAAATCTTCCATTTTGCAGCCAGGGAAACTGAGGTCCAGAGATACAAGGCCTTGGAAGGGGCTCCGAAAGGTCCCGGGGACAGGAACTAGCAGTTAGTGTGCTCCTACTGTGTTTTACTGGTGCTCCGTTTTCCGGAAGAGCTGTTAAGACAGTGAAAACAGCCAAGGGCTTTGGGGTCAGCCAGACCTGGGATTAGAAAGCCGGCAGCTGTGCGGTTTTGAGCAAATGAATCATTCTGAGCTTCAGTTGCCTGTCTGCAAAATGGGGGAGGTACCTGCTTTATAGCGTGATTGGGAGGATGAGCAATTGAAAGCACCCGGTGAGGAAGATGCCCGAGAAGACACGGGTGATGAGCGGGGCAGCCGGGAGAGCTCAGCCTCGGGCTGTGGCCTTTCCCGGCAGCCGGACCCGAGGTCTGCACCAGGCGCCTCCACCTTCGGGAACCGAGAAAAGCTGCCTGCGCTCCAGGCTCCACGACCCGGTTCTCGGAGCTGATAGGATTAGATCAGAGCTTGTCAGCTAGGTGTTGAGTGGAGAGGAGAGAGATTAGAGCGCAGGGTTTTGTTGGAGCTCTGCCACTAGGGTGCGAGCTTGAGCAAGATTTCAGGCTTGGCATCTCTTCATCTGTAAAGTGGGGCTAAGCCTTATTACCCAGTAGCATGGAAGGAATGGAGGGCTTTGTCTATGAAGTAGCACCTGTATCACGTGGTACATTGTAAGCCCTCGGTAAGTGCTAACCCAAGAAAAATCATAATAACTATAGCGTTCAGGTGTAAGACTCCAGAAGTATAACCAAAAAAACCTGCCCCAGCCAAGTCCAAAAGCGGGTGCCTTTACTCTGAGTCTCCTGGGAGGATGGGGAGGTTCCCTGATCTGGGAGTTTGCTGTGATGGTTCTGCCGGTTTCCCAGCAGGTGGTAGAGCTGGATTCCTGGGAGCCTTCCCCTCTGCTCTGCTTTACCCACCCACTACTGCCTCTTGCCATCTTCCTCCAAGCCCTGTGCAACCTGACCTTTTTGCCAGACTTCATAGATGGAGAAACTGAGCTCCAGACAGCAGAAGGATTTTACTCCTGGATGTTTATGGCAGGACTAGGTGGAAAACCCAGACTTCTTGAAACTTGCCCACTGAGTATTCCACAGTTTCCCTCCAAACCCTCTGAAACCAGAGGTGTCCCTGAAGCAGGGGACAGCATACCACCTGACAGAAGGATGGGCATAGGCTGTTGTTTTTAGACATACTACTGTTTACCAGACACCTATTTTGTGCCAGGCACAAAGTACAAGGCGCCTTGCACACCTTATTTAATTTTCAGTCTGTCTGACAACCTGGAGGCAGGTGGTATTCTCTCCCTTTGTTAGATGTAGAAAGGTGGGTAATATTGTCATCATCCCCTCTTTACAGGTGTAGAAGTGGGCTCAGAGAGGTGATGTTCACTGCCCCGAAAGCCATACTTCCTTGGGATCAAATCTCAACTCTGCTGCTCAGCACCTCTGAGCTTCAGTTTCCTCAAACTGCTGCCACCCTTGTCATAGGGACCCTCCTGATCTTTCCCCTTTCTGAGCCTCAGTTTGCCCTTCTGTAAAATGGGGATAGGAATTCCTGCTCACGTCATTATGGTGAAGAGTTGAAGGAGATCCTACCTGGAAGGTGGGAGGAGCACCACACACATGAATTCTTTCTGTTTATCCCTCCTGAGGCTTCAAGCTCTTATCCCAAGTGAGACCCAGACAGTGGCTCTTTTCTTTTTTTCTTTTTTGGCTCAGTTCCCAACTACGCTCCTTGGGGCTCAGGGAAAGAAAATCCCCTTCACTAGCTCCTTTCTCTCCTCTTGTCCAGCGGAGCGGGCACTGGACACAATGAACTTTGAGGTGATCAAAGGCCAGCCCATCCGCATCATGTGGTCCCAACGAGACCCAGGACTTCGCAAGTCGGGTGTCGGCAACATCTTCATCAAGAACCTGGAAGACTCCATTGACAACAAGGCCTTGTACGACACCTTCTCCACCTTTGGGAACATCCTCTCTTGCAAGGTGGGTGTGCCTCTTGGGGGGGGGGGTCTGTGTTAGACACCTGTGTGGTGGTAGAGGGATACCAAGCAGCACCTCATCGGTAAAGAGCCAGGTTCAGCAAGCACCTGAATGGTAGTTGTTCTCAGCTGTAGCGGTCACCTACGTATCAGCTGGCTCTTGCTGCGTAACCACCTCCTAACTTCGTGGCTGTCAACAACTGTGATTTATTCCGCTCGTAATTCAACCGTTGGCGGTTGGGGCTGAGTTCAGCCGAGCAGTTCTTCTGCTCTTGGCTGGGTTCCTTTGTTTGCCCACTGACAGCTGGATGGCTCTGCTTCTAGGGAGTGGGTGGTTGTCAGCTGGACCGACTCGGCTTTCCTCCCTGTGGGCTTTCATCCTCCAGCAGGCTAGCCCAGGCTATTCTCATGGCAGTAGCAGGGTCCCAGGAGACAGAGTGGAAGCTCACCTGGCCTCTTGAGACCTAGGTTCAGAACTAGCACACTGTCATTTTGTTGCGTTCTACTGACCAAAGTAAGTCATGAGAACAGCCCGAATTCAGAATGAGAGGGCAGTAGAAATTATAGGACAAAGCAAGTAGATACAGGAAGGCCATGATGGCAATGGACCAGACCTTGTCTGTAACATTTCTCTTATAAGAGAATGGAAGTTTCCTAGGAGTAGGGATCTTGTTCTTATCACCACTGTATCCAAGTACCTGAGATGTGAAAACATAGTAGGTGCTCAATAAATATTTGTTGAGCTAATGGCTGTATCATCATTTGGGAAGGGCTGTGATCATTTCTCTGACTTTGTAGTTGAGGGTCAGGGGCCATGCAGCAGATCAGTCTGTCCTGACAGGGCTTAACCCTGGGTGTTTTGCCCGCTAGATTTTATAAGGGTGGCTGGTCAGTTACCCTGCAGCCTTTGGCATGTCCAGCCTTCTGGGGAGGCAGCAGGGGGGATGGGGAGTGATGGCATCCTCTGTGTTAGAACTCTTCCTTGACTCCTACTATGTGCTAGGCACAGTCCTGCAGTTCTCAAGTGAGGCCTCACCACCTCCCTGTGAGTGAGGGGATATCCCTGTGACTCAGAGGGGCAAACAGACTGGAGGAGGTGCAGCAGCTGCGAAGGGCATGCCATGATAGACAGAAAGGGCTGTTTCCTGTCTTTGAGGATTAATGGAAAAGAGAGAGAGTCTTAACTGTGTGCTAGGTTCTTACAGTGATAACAGCAGATTTATCCAGAACTTTCTACGTGCTAGATTTTCTGCATACACATCCTCACAGAATTTCCCAAAATGGCCTCTTAAGATGCAAACAGGAGGATCCCGGAGTTACCCTGGAGGGCGGAGAGGCTCAGAGTTGGGGTTACTTGTTCACAGTTATATATTATAGGGGTGGGAGGTCAGTGGCCAAGGCAGGATCTGAACCAATGGGTTTGCTGGCTTAGCTGAAGCTAACTTAACAGGGAAGAGTATGTCTGTTCCCATTATCCAGGCCTTGAGGCTTCCTCTGGGCCACTGAGGATTGGACAGAAAGTTCTGTGAGACTCGGGCAAGTCTTTGCAGGCCTAATGAAGCCCTGTTATGGGCCTGGTTAGGTACAAGGCGTTCAGTGTGGTCCGTTCCCCTGGTGTTTGCTTTTAGGTTTTATGAGGATGGCTGGTCGGTTACCCTATAGCCTCTGGCATGTCCACCCTTCTGGGGAGATGGCAGGGGTAGGGGGAGAGGTTGGGAGTGATGCCTCCCTCTGTGTTAGAACTATTCCTTGCGTGCTACCAAGTGCTCTCAGGCTGGTTGGAGATGGTGAGACTTTTAGGAACAGCTGGACATTGGGCTCTGAGGGGAATGCATGGGGATCCGGGGAGTCAAAGACCCAGAAAGGAGAGTGCCCTGGGGCTGAGGAAAGGTTTCTGAGGCACTGTGGAACTCCACTAGGCTTGGGGTCACGCCACTCAAGTTCAAAGATCAGCCCAGCCTACCGAGCAGAGAGTCAGCATGACATAGTCAGCCAGACCTTGGACTTTGGGGCCAAGTGTCCTGGGTTCAAATCCTGCCTCTTCCACTTCCTGGCAGTGTGGCCTTGGGCTGGTTGTTTAACCTCTCCATACCTCAGCTTCCTCTCTATAAGGGGGGCAGTGGTAGAACCTACCTCTTAGGGTGGCTGTGAATGTATATTAACTCACATAATCTTCACAATATAGATAGCCCTCGAAAGAGTAGCGAGCATCTCATTAGGCATCTACAGGAATCAAATAGTTACTTCTGCTGGCTGGCCGACCTCGGACAAGTCATTTATTCCCATTTTCCCCAGTCGGGCAGCTGGGGCTCAGAGGTTAAGAACTGCCTGGAAGGGTTCTGATGACAAATATAACAGTATGTGATGCCCTTAGCAGGTGCTTGGCACAGAGTGGAACCCAGTCAATGTGATTAAATTTGAATGACAGGCCTGGGCTTGAGTTGAAAGCAGAGGGACCCTGCTTGGGGCTGGAGGGGTGCGTGTTGGGTGTGGACTTGGAAGCAGGACTCGTGAAGGGCCAACTGGAGAGCCTTAAATGCCACGTTGGTATAGTTCTGTGGATTGTAGGAGCTACTGGAGATTATTTCCCAGAGGGACATGATCACAGTTACATTTTGGAAAAAGCGTCCCAGTGGTCAGCCCAGAAGCTGGGTTGGGAGGCTGGGGTGGTGGTCGAGGCAGAAAATGTCACTTAGTTGAGCCGGGGCGGTGGCTGCAGGGATGAGTGGAGCCGTGGACCCCATGAGATGGTCATTAGGGGTCTTAGTGCAAGTTCAGCCAGAGGGACAGGAACTCTGTGAACTGAAGATCTTTCCCATTCACGAGGTCTGTCCTAACTTGAGTTGGGAGCCCTACAGAATGGGGGTAGTATGTTTGTGGGTCTTTTCAAAATTTAAAACAAGTTTGCTGTTGAAATAATAGATTAATTGGTAAAGTTTAAACAACCTGGAAAGGAATAAAGTAAAACAGCTTTCGTCGCTTTCAACTCTAGTTCCCGGAAATAATTATTAACCGTTTTGTGTGTGTCTGTTTTAAAAATTTCCCTGCCAAGATATGGAAGCAACCTAAGTGTCCATCAATGGATGAATAGATGAAGACAATGTGGTTTATATATACAGTGGAATACTACTCAGCCATAAAAAAGAATGAAATTTTGCCATTTGCAGCAACGTGGATGGACTTGGAGGGCATTATGCTAAGTGAAATAAGTCAGACAGAGAAAGACAAACACTATATGATATCACTTACATGTGGAATCTAAAAATTACAGCAGACGAGTGAATATAATAAAAAAAGAAGCAGACTCACGAATACAGAGGACAGATACAGAGAACAGGGGAACGAGGGGCAATATAGGGGACGGGGAGTGGGAGGTACAAACTATTGGGTTTAAGATAGGCTCCAGGGCTTCTCTGGTGGCGCAGTGGTTGAGAGTCTGCCTGCCGATGCAGGGGACACGGGTTCGTGCCCCGGTCCGGGAGGATCCCACATGCCATGGAGTGGCTAGGCCCGGGAGCCGTGGCTGCTGAGCCTGTGCGTCCGGAGCCTGTGCTCCGCAGCGGGAGAGGCCACAACAGTCAGAAACCTGCATACCGCAAAAAAAAAAAAAAAAAAGATAGGCTCCAGGATGTATTGTACAACACAGGGAATCGAGCCAATATTTTGTAATCACTGTAAATGGAAAGTAACCTTTTAAAAATGGTATATAAATGAAAAATAATAATAACCATCCCACACTTTCTCTCTTCCTGCTTTCCTTCCTTCTTTCTTTCCCCTCTTCCTCACTTTCCCAATCTTTCTCTATTTCTTTGTCTCTCTCGCTCTCACTTTCCAAAAGTTTCCCCTAAATATGTATTTCTTGTGTTAACGGAAACACAATTGAATGTTACCAAAAAATGCCAAATGGTTTCTCAAAAGCATAGATGCCCACTTTAACCCAAATGGGCTTGATTCTTTCCCCCCACTTAACAGTATACCTCACAGGTCACCCTGCCAGCCGTGAAATCTACCACATTCTCTTCAACTATGCACATACAGCAGACCAAGATGAATATACTGTAATTTACTGAACCAGTCTCCTCTGGATGGATCTCGGGTTGTTTCTAACTTGCAGTTAGAAACAAAGATGCAGAAAGGGGGGAAGGTGGCTGGAATCTAATCCTTTTATCCATTGCTTTAGGAAGATCGTTAAAAGCTGGTCTGTGGTATAGATGAGATCTGCGTTCAGTTTGAGGACTCTGTCCCTCCTTACTGTGTGATCTTAAGCAAGTAGATTGACCCCTTTGAGCTTTCGTTTCCCATCTCTAAAATAGGGCTGTTGTGCGAGATAGGATTGTCTTCACAGGCACAGAGCAAGCACTCAGATATTAGTCATTATTGCCGTTGCCATTCTTGTTCTCTGTTGGATGCTCTTCATGTCCTGTTTCCCTGTGGCCCAGGTGGTGTGTGATGATCATGGCTCCCGAGGCTTTGGCTTTGTGCATTTTGAGACCCACGAGGCTGCACAGAACGCCATCAGCACCATGAACGGGATGCTGCTGAATGACCGCAAAGTGTGAGTGGTGGGATGTGGGTGGCGCCAGGGCTAAAGGAGCAGAATCATGGTACCACCAACTTAGGACCCATAGGACTGCCACCGTCTAATGGGCGCCTGGCACTGAGCAGCTGCTGGTATTCTTCCTGGCAGTATGGCCTCGGACGTGTTGCTCCATCTCCCAGGGACTCCCTTTCCTCGAGTACAACATGGGGCTGCTGGTATGCGTTAGAGGAGCTCTGAGTGGCAAATGGGGCGATGCTTTAGAAATTCTAGCAGGAACAGCTAATGGCCACATCATCAGTGGACAGAGTGATTTTTGTCTGTTTTCCAACCTTCTCAGCATGGCTGTGAATTTTATTAAACCTTTTGTTTCCTGAGATTGGGGACAGGAAGGAAGGTTGGCATATGCTTAGCCTGCCATTTTCATGCCTTTAAGTTTGGCATCATCCCCACTTCACAGATGGGAAAGTTGAGGTGCAGATGCTGGAGAGAATCTGCTCTGGCTGTTGCCTCCCCCAGTTCTGGTTCTGCCCGTCAGATGGCCCAGCCCCATGCCCGAGACTGAGCAGTGGAGGAAGCTTTGGGGTAGGAGATGCACCCAGAGTAATTTTGTCCAGAGTTTCTCAGGGTAGCCTCCTGTCAGTGAACCAGAACTTTGACGGGCTTTTCCCAGTTCTCTAGAAGTGTGTTTCTATCTTTGTCAGCTTTCAGTTTGCCTGTTTTCCTTTGTCACTCAGTTTCCTTCAATTTTTGGTGTCAGCTATCACTCGTTTGTGCTAAATGTCTTATATCAGGGGTCCCCAACCCCCGGGCCGCAGACCGGTAGTGGTCTGCGGCCTGTTAGGAACCAGGCTGCACAGCAGGAGGTGAGTGGTGGGTGAGTGAGGGAAGCTTCATCTGCCGCTCCCCATCGATAGCATTACCGCCTGAACCATCCCCCCATTGCTCGCATTACCGCCCAAATCATCCCCACCCCTGTCCGTGGAAAAATTGTCTTCCACAAAACCGGTCCCTGGTGCCAAAAAAGTTGGGGACCGCTGTTTTATAGGTACCATCAAATTTTCTTATGCTTGCTTTGTTTTTCTTAATCTAGGATGATTTCCTAGGTGTGTTTATGTGGACTTGGAAATTACAATTTTTAAAATTCATAATGTATTTAAATGATTTCAGTGCCCCCCTCCCCCACCCCAGCAATACTGGCATAAACCACATCTGGTTCTCTCACAGCCACTGCACCCAGTGTATGTTAAATGAATAAGCAAATCTCTGTGATGTGAGTTTGATCCCCAGTTTTACAGGAATGAACACTGAGGCTCAGAGAGGTTAAGTAACTTGCCCAGGGTCACACAGCTTGGTAACTGCAGAGCGAGGATTCAAGCCCTTGTCTGTGTGACTCCCAGATTTGTGCTCTTATCTCCTGAGCACTCAGCTGCCTCATTTGCAGTAGGAGATCCTGTGCATTTGCCCCAAGAATGAAGTCATCTTAACCTTACACTGGAACATAGAAGCTTGGATGTTGCAAGTGGTCAGTCCTTGGATGTATGCCATCTAAGGAGCATTGCCCTGCCCAGTCCCTTGATGAGGGGTACAGAGATCCTGGAGGCCAGCGGCAATTGACTCAAGCGACCCAGGCTTACTGGGTGGGCCGGGGCAGGGGTGGGGGTGGCCGACGGCAGCCATAGGCAGCTGCCTACCCTGTTGGCGTGTCCACAGCTTCGTTGGCCACTTCAAGCCCCGACGGGAGCGGGATGCAGAGCTGGGAGCTCGGGCCATGGAGTTCACCAATATCTACGTGAAGAACCTCCACGTGGACGTGGATGAGCAGTGCCTGCAGGACCTCTTCTCCCAGTTTGGTGGGCGTGTTCCCCAAGGGAGTTGGGGATCACTTCTCTTCTACTCCCAGCTTGGGTGCCCCCTGGGGCTTCCTGAAGACTTGGGAGAAGGGAGGGGACATCTCAGGGCTTGCCCGACTCCCCTTTGAGACAGGTTGCCCTTCCTAGGGAAGATACTGAGTGTCAAGGTGATGAGGGATGACGGCGGCCACTCCCGCGGCTTTGGCTTTGTCAACTTTGAGACGCACGAGGAAGCCCAGAAGGTAGGAACCTCCCTATGGCCCTGTTTCTTGGAGGAGGTGCGGAGCCAGGACTAGGAAGAAGGGAGATCAGGAGCAGAGGGCTCCAGCTGCCTGTGGAGGAAATAGTCCCTCCCCAGCATGGGTCCACACAAGCCAGGGCCCTTCCTGCCTGGGGTGAAGGCAGACCCTTCAGCCTCCTCCGGTTGCTTCCATAGCCTGAGGCTGGCTGGCTTTTCATAGAATCTTGCAGCCTGGGAGCTACTAGGGGCCTTTGAGACAGCCATCACCCTCTTGTTGAACTGATCGTGGGATTGAGACCAGGGAGGGGGAGTGCCGTGTTATTTCTTGCTTCCAAGACTTTGAACATATTGTTTTCTCAAAACACTTCCCCTCCGCTACTCTTTAGACCAATGCTGTCCAATAGAAATATAACATGAGCCACATGTGCCGTTCAAAATTGTGCAGTAGCCACATTAAAAAGGGTTAAAAAAACCCCTGCAACTTTAATAATATATTTTATTTAACTTATTCAAACTATCACTTCAATGTGGTATAATGTTGATATAATTGATTGTGATGTAATATTTACATTGATAAAAATTGAGATTTTTACAGTCCCTTTTTTGTACTACGTCTTTGAAATCTGGTACCTCTAGTCCATGTCAGTTCAGACTAGCCATTTTTCAAGTATTCAGTAGCTGCATGCAACAAGTGGTTGCCATGTTGGACAGCGTAGCTGTAGATAATTGATGGGTCTCAGCTTATACTTTTCCCTCCTTCAGGAAGCCACCTCTTCCTGTCCTCAGTGCTTCTGACAAGGTGCCCCTCCTGTCTGTCTCCATCATTAGCTCAGATCTCCACGGATAGAACTGAGGGCAGGGGCTGGGTCTCATGTCACCATTAAATCTCTAGCATTTCACTGCTGGTAGGTACCAGATACATATCTACTGAGCAAGGGAATGGTACAAGGTCACCGCGTGAGTAACAAAGCAGGGATAATGTCCGATCTTGCCTCCCACCATGAAGCTCTTTCCGTAGCTCCTGCCCCATTAAGATCACTGGTCATGGGAGAGCTCAGCTCATAGTGGATTCTGGATGGAGACCTGGATCCTGGGGCCACCTCGATAGCAGCCACTTCTCACTGAGCACTTACCACAGGCAGATTTTGCAGACACTGTCGTGTCTCCTCCCACCAGTGTGGGTTCTACTGTGGTTATCAGGTTCCGCCAAGTTGTAGCTAGGAGGAGAGAGCACTGGGATTAGAACCAACTCTTTCTGGCCCTGAAGTTTTGTTCTTAAGTAAAGGACACCTTTGAAAGGTAACTTCTTGTGTCTCCTTGGACATGTCCCACCCTCTCTGTAGACTTTGGTTGCCCCAACTATAAAATGACAAGTTGGAGTAGAGCAGTGAAGCTGGCAGGGGAAACCGTAGACTCCAAGGTCTTGGAGACTTCGGTAATGACCTTTTTTTTGCGGGTTTTTTTAAGATTTATTTTTTATTTATTTATTTATTTTATGCTGTGTCGGGTCTTAGTTGTGGCACACAGGATCTTCGTTGAGGCATGCGGGATCTTTCGTTGCAGCACGTAGGCCCTTTGTTGTGGCGCACGGGGTCTAGAGTGTGTGGGCTCTGTAGTTTGTGACACGCGGGCTCTAGTTGAGGCGTGCAGGCTCAGTAGTTGTGGCGCACGGGCTTAGTTGCCCCACGGGCATGTGGTGTCTTAATTCCCTGACCAGGGATCTAGCCCACGTTCCCTGCATTGTAGGGGGGATTCTTTACCGCTGGACCACCAGGGAAGTTCCCTGCCAATGACCTTTAAGACTGCTACGGATCAGGCAGTTCTTGGGCCCCCAGAGTGTTTTTACATATATTTACATATGTTTGCATGTCTAGGTAGGGAAGCAAGTCATTATGTGAAAATATTTACTCATGAACTGACCACTTAAAAAGTCAGTTCCCTTTCAAATATTTCTCCTCCCTAACACCAATGTCTAATCCAAACCTTTGAGTCAGTACTCACGTGGGTCTCATTTTTGCAGATAAGTCAATGCCGATTCAGTTCATTATTAGTGGATTGCAGAGAGACATTGCATGTCTGTTTTTTTTTTTTTTTTATGTGACACCAGGTTGGGTCACCGCCCCTGAACAAATTTAGTAAAAATTTCTCTCTCCCTCCCTTTTTTCTTTTATAATTTATCTTTATTTTTATAGTGGAGTATAGCTGATTTACAGTGTTATGTTTCTTGCTGGTGTATAGCAACTTGATTCACTTACACAGAGACATCTATATCTACATATTCTTTTTCAGATTCTTACCAGTCTTATACATTCTTTTCCGGTGATTACAGTGTGTTGAGTCAAGTTCTATGTGCTATACAGTAGGTCCTTATGGATTAAGACATGGCACGTCTTGCAGAAGATGTAGGAATTCATGCAATCAGAGCCACTGACGGTTTGGGGTGTGGCAGGCTTAGGCCAGTTAACTGAAGAAAAGAAAAATCAAGGGTTAAGAAGCAAATGTTTCTAAAGTCCTCATAGCGAAAACGGTTCTCTGTGCTGTGAAACCCAGCATGAAGGATCTTGATTACGCCATCACGCCCTTTGGAAAGAATTATGCTTGTTGCTTTGTTCTCATCGTCAGTGTGTAGTTACAGTTAGAACCTAAATGTTAAATCGTGGGAAACTTTGCAAATTTCAATTTCACTTTTTCAAGTAGAGCCCAAATCAATTTTTAAAAATTCTATAGTTTACTCTGAAATTCTGTCCCATGTTTTTAAAAAATGGATTCACTTTAATTGGCCTGGATTCTGGTACTAATTATTCTCGGCTATCAAGGCCAGCCTGGCTTGCAGGTGGCCCTGTCTGGGCCCAGAAGATGGGACTGGAGGACAGGGCTAAGGCCAAGGCCTCATGGGGGTGGTTACCAAGCCCTCTGGCTGCCTCTTCTCTGCACAGGCTGTGATGGACATGAACGGGAGGGAGGTGAGTGGACGGCTGCTCTACGTAGGCCGGGCCCAGAAGCGGGTGGAGCGGCAGAATGAGCTGAAGCGCAGGTTCGAGCAGATAAAGCAGGACCGGCTGACCCGTTACCAGGTGAGGGACAGGCTTCCTGTGGGGCAGCTGCTTCGATGTGAAAGTGTCTGTGTGTGGGCAACCCTGAACGCGACTCCCTCCTCCAGCAATCCCGCTTCTGGGAACTTGGCTTTAGAGATGCGGGGAGTGGCGAGGGGCTGCACCTTCCAGGTGATGGACTCGCTGAGTGATGGGTGAGGTGCAGGGGTGCTGCATGAGACTGAGAACTGGAGGCTTGGTGGGCGGGGCTTCCAGTGCCCCCTTGGCCCATGTAAGCCCCTCCCCCCCACCCCAAGTCATTCTGGGGCTTGGAGGGGAAGGGGCACATCTAGCAGGTATCCTTTCCTTCTAGGGCGTGAACCTGTATGTGAAGAACTTGGATGACTCCATCGATGATGAGAAACTGAGGAAAGAGTTCTCTCCCTATGGAGTGATCACCAGTGCCAAGGTGAGGGCCGGGGGCACCCACAGGGGATCGGTAGCCTTCCCCTCCCATCCTCACTGCCCACGCACACCCCCATCCCCGCCCCGGGACTTCCAGGGATTTGGTGCTGCGCTGCTCCTTCTGGAGTTTGGGAGCTGGGTCTGACCCCACTGGAGTTTGTCGTCCATCTGCAGCCTTGTCTGGGCTGGAGGGGAAGAGGGTAGAAATACAGTCCCAGTCACACAGCTGGACTTGCTGGGGCTCGCTGTAACCGAGGTTCATTCAACAAGCATTTATTGAGTGCCTACTGTATGCCAGAGTACAGAAATTTGTGTCTCAGAATTTCCATTGACTTCTGTTGTCTGGCCTTGGCTGGCGACATAACCCCTTTCTGGGCCTCAGTTTCCCCATTTGGAAAATGAGAGGCTTGGGCTGCATCATTCTTCACTCATTCTTCCCCACGTATTGAACAGCTACCGTGTGCCCTCCTAGCACCAGAGATGTGGTGTTGGCTCTGTGACCTTGAGCAGATGTCTTCCGAGCCTCACCTATAAGATGAGGGTGGGCGGTGGGCTCCCCAGATGGTTCTGAACCCTGGCTTCTCATTAAAATACTGTGGAGAGCTCTTAAATAGACACCCGAGTCAGAGAAACTGAATGTAGAGCTCTGGGCATCTTAATTTTAAAAGCTCCCCACGTAATTTTAAGAAGACCTAGTGTTCGTTCGTTCCATACTTGAGCACCTGCTGTTTTGCCAGGCCCTGTGGGAAGCACACAGGAATAAGTCAGACGTAGTCCTTGCCCTTGAGTAACTTATAGTCTAGTGGGGAAGTCGGATGCATCACTAACTCAAATCTACTGTAGGGTGGGGTGGGGTTGGGGTAAGTGGAGGAGGCAGAGCTGCGGGAGCTCAGCAGAACAGGAAGGAGGGCTTCCTATAAGAAGTGGCAGTGGCAGCAGCGTTTGACTTGACTGTGAGGAGGTAGGGAGCTGCGGGTGGGAATGAAGGACTTTCCAAAGAGGTCAGTGTGGGTGACGGGGCTGAGGACCTGCACGTGTGGTGTGATGGTTGGGCTCTTAGGACGTGGTCTAGAAGTTCTTTTGCCTGTTGAATTCAATTTAAAATGTCCTTCAGGGAGCCTGGTATTTGGGGAGGAGGTTCTAATAATTTTTGAGTTAAGGACGTTTTCCCCAAAAAAGTGACAGAGAGCTGTGGGACATGTGAATTAAGCATCAGGAAATCTGATTAAATTTATCAATCAGTAAATTGATAAATCTGATTTATAAAAAGCTCTGGGCCCTCTTTCCTGGCAAATGCATACTTGGTATAGTATTATGGTTGGAAGCTGGGATTTTAAAGTTAATCAGGAGTAGGTCTAAATCCCAGTCCTACCATTAACTACCTGTAGAGCCTGAAGGAAGTGACATTGCCATTTGGACCCTTTTTGCCCATCTGTAAAATGGGAGCAACATGATCTACTTCTAGAGGTGTCCTGAGAACTAAAAGGCCTGCAAGTGGAGCACCTGCCCACGATAAGTAGTGAAATAATGATCTAGTTGTTCACATACCTTGCATATAATTTCAGGAGATTCACTGACCTCCTTGAGGACCCCTTGAATGAAGGGAATTGTACAAAATCTGGATTGCTTAAGAGTTGACGTGCAGTGGGGTGGACCATCTTGTTATAAAATGGGAATTTTACATAAGTTTATATGTACTTATAAAATTTAATATATTTTCTATTTTATAAAATAGTGATTGAAAATGAGATAATAGTGTTATAAGCACTTTGTAGAGATTAAGTTCATAGTAAGCTCTGCATGAGTATTTTTTATTATTTTATTTATTTTCTATTTATTTAGGCTGCATTGGGTCTTAGTTGCGGCACGGGAGATCTTCACTGAGGCATGCAGGCTTCTTTCTAGTTGCGGCATGCGGCTTTTTCTCTCTCTAGTTGTGGTGTGTGGGCTCCAGAGTGCGTGGACTCTGTAGGTTGTGGCACACGGGCTCTCTTGTTGAGGCGCGGGCTCTCTAGTTGAGGCGTGTGGGCTCAGTAGTTGTGGCATGTGGGCTTAGTTGCTCTGAGGCATGTGGCATCTTAGTTCCCTGATAGGGCTTGAACCTGTGTCCCCTGCATTGTAAGGTGGATTCTTTACCACTGGACCACCAGGGAAGTCCTTGCATAAGTATTAGTTGTACTAATTTTATCTTCTTTAAAACTACCTAACAGAAGTTCTTATTAATTTGCTAAGACAGTATTTTTTTGCCAAGAAAATTTGGCTGTCTCATAAAGCCTATGGACCCCTTATCCTATGGAGGATATGTTTAAATGCATAAAAGAAAACTCATAAGATTACAAAAAACAATTGGATTGAAATATATTTGTTAAAATATGTTCTGCTTTATTAAGGCAGCAAACTATAAGATCTAGGGGAATTCCCTGGCAGTCCAGTGGTTAGGACTCTGTGCTCTCACTGCCGAGGGCCTGGGTTCAATTACTGGTCAGGGAAGTAGGATCCCACAAGCCACGTGGTATGGCTGAAAAAGGTAAAAAAAAAAAAAACAACTATAAGATCTAGTGAAGTAGTAATGAGCCTAAAAGATTTTGAGATCAGCAATAATTAATGTGATATGAAAATATTCTTCTTGACAAAGTCACAAGCACAGCTAATGCTACTGTATTTTTTCTTTGCCTATATTCAAAATAGAAGGAAATGCTAATGTAAAAATAAAGATGCCATTTTCCCCCCATCTGAGTTCACAGACCCCCAGAATTCTATCCATTGACCTCCCTGAGGGGATCTGTGAACGCTCAGGTCGAGGCCCCTGTATGAGTAGCAAAGTGCAGCTGAAAATCATTGATGTTAGAGCATGGGCTCTAATAGAGCAGGTTTAAAATGTTCTCAGCTCAAGTCCTCATGGAGTCAGGCCAGTGTCTCAACCCTAAAAAAAGATCAAGAATCGTATATGCGATATGGATGGGATCCTTGAAGAGAAAAATGTTAGAAAGTCCAGTGAAATCCAAATGAAATCTGCAGTTCAGTTAACAGCATTGTAGATAATAATAGTATTGTACCAATCAGTCGATATTGTAGTTCTGTCCCACTGTTAACATGGTACATTTGTCAAGCTAGGTGAAAGATATACAGCAACTCTGTACTATTTTTGCAACTTTTCTATAAATCTAAAGTCATTCCACAATAGAAAGGTTATTTTAATAAAAAATTTTTTTTAAAAAAGGCTAAGAACCTCTTCCCCAGACTCCTAAAGAACGTGGCTCTGTGCCTTGCCGAGGCAGTGGAGGTCTACCAGCACCATACATTAGGTTTGAGTTGTGGCTAATGTATGACCCACTGCCTAGGTGAGTCACTTTTTTTTTTTTTCTCCCTAATAGTAAGGAATTTTGTTTCTATCGCAAAGAAAATTAACACAATAAAGCACCAAAAATACAAATTCAAATTATTTTCCTATTCCATACAAATCTCTTTCATGGAGTCTCTAGGAAATATAACTCTTAAGAGCATCTTACTTTGTCCATAATTCACAAATGAACTAAAGAACTGTATGGATGGTTTAATAAAACCCGAGGAGTAGTTGAAATGCAGATTTTTCATTATAGTGACCCCTACAGAAAGGTTTAAGATTGTAGCCTGGCCGAAGGACCCTGCCCCTAGATACTAACCTGTCCCAAACTACCATCCCACTTCCTTTTAGCCACACAGGCGAAGGCAGATACAGTAACGATTTAAGCCGGCTTTCCATCACCGCTTAGGAAAATCTTTTCAGAAGGAAAATTTAGAGATCAAAATTAACTCTGAAATGCAGCTGTTCTCCCTGATTCTGGGGAATGGTCTAGTAAACGATGAGCAGCCCTCATTAGCAAGTGGCCCGGTCTTGGACAAGTCACTCTGAGCCTCACTTCCATCACCTGTAAAGTGGGCGTGGCCATGCCTCCCTGCTCAGGTGGCTGCACCTGTCGAGTAAGAAGGCGTGTCACATCTTCTTATCCATTCATCCGATGATGGCATCTGGCATACTGTGGGCCTCAGTAAATGTGTGGGTGAGAGAGGACCCCCCCTTAATCGCAGTTTCTCCTGGGTACCCTCAGTACTGGGCTGGGTCCCCCAGGGGGTGGGGAGCGTGGCCCCCGGAGTCTTCCTTCTCCACCCCCAGCAGCCCTTGTCTTGTCTTGCTTTTAGGTGATGACAGAGGGTGGCCACAGCAAAGGGTTTGGCTTTGTGTGTTTTTCCTCTCCAGAAGAGGCGACGAAGGCCGTGACAGAGATGAACGGGCGCATCGTGGGGACCAAGCCACTGTACGTGGCACTGGCCCAGCGCAAGGAGGAGCGGAAGGCCATCCTGACCAACCAGTACATGCAGCGCCTCTCCACCATGCGGGCCCTGGGCAGCCCCCTCCTGGGCTCCTTCCAGCAGCCTGCCAGCTACTTCCTGCCCGCTACGCCCCAGGTGACCTCCTGTCCGCATCCCTTCCCTGACAGCCAGGTGGGGCAGGAAGATCAGAGCTTCACAGGCAGACAGAGATTCCCAACATGCTTCAGCTGGAAACTCACTCGGCAGGCGGCCGTTGTCACCCCATCTCTAACAGGGGTAATTTTGTCCCTGTCAAGCAATGCTTCCCGATCCGGGAGAGAATCGTGAATGTTATGCTGAAAGATTCTCTGCAGTCAAATACGTTGGGGAAATATTGCATTAAGCCAAAGAAGCCTTGATTTCTTTACTGTGTACCTTCTTCTATCCTGATATGCCAGTAGGCACCATGACTTTCCCAAACTGGCAGAGTACGTAGCATTCCCCCAGCTTAGATGATCATTTTTGTGGGACGCCTGCTAACATCTCTCCTGTATGCTAATGTTCTAAGGGGCCTGGTTTGGGGAAGGAGCTTGTGTGACCTGGAGGGAGTAGAAAGATATCTGTAGAAAGATGAATGGCTCCGAGGATGGGAACATTCCTCCCCCTTAGCAGTTCCTCAGCTGGCACAAGTAACAGTGGGATTGTCGCCCTTTTATCCAGGTCACTGGGCTAGCAGTACTGATCATCAGGGGCAAGAATTGAGCCTGAGATCTTGCCCTGAAGGGGTCAGGGCTAATGGACCTCCTGATGTGGGAAGCAGGAGCCTTAACCCCAGCTTTGTGGGTCTATAATGACCAGTCCCCTGTAGGGGACAGTGGAATTCCCATAGTGGTGTCCCTGAGGGAATGCAGTTTCTCACCTCCCCTGCTGCCAGCCCCCCTCACTCTAGGTCTTTCTGTCCCACACAGCCTCCAGCCCAGGCCCCATACTATGGCTCTGGCCCACCTGTCCAGCCTGCCTCCAGGTGGACGGCCCAGCTACCCAGACCCTCGTGTGAGTGACCCAGCCCCTGCCCTCCACATGGGTCCCGTGGGGCAGCGTGTAACACGGTGGGTTAAGGACACGAGCTTGGGGGTCAAGCCTGGCTCTGCCACTTCCCAGGGTGTTAATTTGGGTGGGTCACGTCACCTCTCTGAGCCTCGGTTTCCTTTTGTGAACGTGGGCCTGAGTGAGATGTGTGTAAATCACCGAGGACAGGGCCGAGCCCGTAAAAGACACGGACGCAGCTGTTACCTTCCGTGAGCTCCGAAGGCTCTCCTGATTTGTGACGGTGAAAATTCCTGCAAAGCTGAGAAAATAATACTCCTTTGGCACTACTGTTGATGAATGGTCCTCCTCTAAGAGTGACGTTCACCCTGACCTGAAGCTGCCCTGGGGGACCAAGCTGTGTGGTCCTGGTACCTGTGCTTCTTGGGGTCCTGGGTAGACAGAAGTTGGCTTTGTAATTGCAGATTTCCAACGCCCTCCCCTGGAGTTCTGGGTCTGCCAGTGAATTCACTCCTCTTATCTGCTGCAGAATGTTCTGGTTCCCCTTCCCATCCCCTTCCTCACCCCAGAACTGTCAGGGTGCAGCGTGCCCGCCTGATTGTCCCCCTCCACCTAAACTTTCTCCATATTCTCTATGCCGCAAGCCGCCTACACGCCTGCGGCCTCGGTTGTCCAGCCAGCAGCCGTGTCTCGGCGCCCCTCGTTCCCCATCGGCAGTGCCAGGCAGATCTCCACCCACGTGCCGCGCCTGGTGCCCCACGCCCAGGGAGTGGGTGAGTGTGGGCAGGGCTGGGAGGAATGGAACAGAGGGTGGGTGCGGTGGTGGGTAGGGGCTTGCTCCTGGCAGGGAGTCAGAACTGGCTTCCACGGTGACTCTGCCGCTGGCCCCCTTGGAGGGCAGTGCCGGCATCTGAGGCCGTGCAGTGGGCTCCAGGGTCAGGGTCCTCCCGACCCAGTTCCGGGGCTGACTCACTCTGTGGTCATGCTACCTACTGTACCTGGTATCCTCTTGTCTAAAATCTGGGTGAGGGACTTCCCTGGCGGTCCAGTGGTTAAGACTCTGAGCTTCCACTGCAAGGGGCGTGAGTTCGATCCCTGGTCGAGGAACTAAGATCCCACATGCCGCGCAGCACGGCCCCAAAAAGAATCCAGGTGAAAGCAGTATTCCCGTCGTGTTATGCGGGTGAAAGTGATCATACGTGCAGGGGTGCAGCACCAGATCTGAACCTAAGTACTGCGGCAGCTGTGAACAGGGGAGCAGTTTTGGGCTCCAAGGCAAGCACCCGTTCCTTCATTTGGCAGGTGTTTGCACGCCTGTGTGCTGACCCTTTACTCGGTGCTGGGGATTCTACGTGAATGCTGGTTTTGAGGTGTCATGCCTTTGGGTTGCTGTCGGCCTTACCATCCCTGCTTATCTCTTACAGCCAACATCGGTACCCAGACCACGGGACCCGGTATGGCAGGATGCTCTTCACCAAGGGGGCCTCTCCTGACACACAGATGTTCCTTGGCAACACACAACACCCACCGGGTAAGGCTGGCCCAGCTGCCCACTGAGTTTGGGCTCTGGGGGTGCTTGGCTCAGAACCCTGTCTAAGGTGCCGGCCCTGTCTGGGTCTTGTTTTCTTTCTATCCTTGGCTTGGAAAGTTTCCTTTATGAACATGTACCATCAGGAGAGATGTCCCCACCCACCACCCACTAACAGAGGGGAAAAAAGACCAGGATCACATTCTGTTTGTTCATCACAATTTGCTTCGCCTGGGTTATTACCAAAATTAACTTGGGTTTCCTTAGTATTTACTTAGTAAGCAGCGAGGATGTGATCACTCTGCAGAATAGAACTGAAAATATCTTCTGTAATTAAGAGCTGTGTATTTTATCTCCCTGCCCCCTAAAAAACTCTCCGAGTCAGCATTTTCAGATCCTGTCTAGAATTTCTGTGGGTATACTTCAAACTATTTCTTGCAAAATGAACAAGAGGAGGCTTTAGAGAGCAAAATGGTTTTAAAGTTACCAAGATGCGAAAGGGTCAGAAATCACGCTGGGGATGCGGCCATAAAGCTACCTGAGTAGAAAGTGCTTTCTTTAGCACCAGGTGCTCAGTAACGTGTGGCTTTCACTTGACAACACGCATAGGGTTCCTAGCACCACGGAACACGTCTGCACTAGGACGTCACTTTGTCGTCTAGTCCACTGTGCCCTTGTTAGGGATTCTGTCCCGCCCGATTGTCCATACCTTGCCCCCTGCTCCCCCTCTTCTAGAGCCTTCCTGGAGGCCTGTGCTCACCCGACAAGGGTAAGTGTTTTGAGGCCTTGCCCATCCATGTGGTTAAGGGATGTGTCCCCGGCACCATGTGCAGGTCCAGGAGCCTGCTGTGCGTGTCCCCGGACAGGAGCCCCTGACTGCGTCCATGCTGGCCGCAGCGCCGCTGCACGAGCAGAAGCAGATGATCGGTGAGTGGCTGGTTCCTCGACCCTGGAGCAGGAAGGGGGCGCCACCAGCCGCCTTAGCTGGTGGGAAGTGCCTTGAGTGGAGGTCAGACGTGGGGACGAGGTCCCCAGCCTTGTGCTGACCCACCTGCCGGGTGGACTTGCCCAAAGGGCCTTTACTTCCCAGGACCCTGTTCATCTTGTCTTAAGACCCTGGTCAGACCAGATGGTCCCGAGATCTCTTCCAGCTCTGCTGTTGTGTGGCTTCGACTCAGGCTGGGAGAGACCCCAGACGTGGGGAGATGAGGGGCCAGGAGGGGGAGCAGAAGGGTAGGGTCTTGGGTTTCTGCCAGGAAATGGCCTCTAAGGTGGGTGCTGTGGTACCTCACACCTCTCGTGATGGGAAGAGGCTGTCACCGAGTTTCATGGGTCTCCCAGTGCCCACGGCAGGGAGGGAGAACATAAACGTGTCCTGGGAAACAGACATTGTTCCCCCTGGCCCCTGATCTCCCGTGCAGTCCGTCTCCACCCCGGCCTCTGTAGCGGGCCCCGCTTAAGGAGGCCGCTACCTGCTGAATGAGTGAGCGAGCTTGCTCTGGTTCCCAGGCTCTTTCCTTCACCTAGACCTCCAGACTCTTCTCGGAAGGCCCCCGATGCCACCACGCCATTGTTTGCTCGGCTCGCTTGGGGTTTTGCCACTTTACTACCCACCCCCAGAGAAAAATTCTAAATGGGCTTCATGGCGGTGGAAGGCTCTGTAAGCAGTGCCCTGGAAACATCTTCACTCCCCTCGTGGGAGAAGCCCTCCCCCACCACTGGAGGCACCTCCAGCCCCGGCTGCACCCTCCACACGTTGCCCAGATGGGCTGACCACCAACACTAGGCCCCGTCGCTCGAAGTGCCCAGTGGTGGAAGGGAAGTTTATCTTGTGTGCTTGGCTCCCCGTCCCTCCAAGAAGTCAAGTTCAGCATTATCGCATCCCGTCTAGAATTTCAATGTGATCCTTCAAGCGATTTCTTGCCAAATGAACAAGAGTAGTCTTTTTTTTTTTTTTTTTTTTTTTTTTGCCGTATGTGGGCCTCTCACTGCCGTGGCCTCTCCCGTTGCGGAGCACAGGCTCCGGACGCGCAGGCTCAGCGGCCATGGCTCACGGGCCCAGCCGCTCCGCGGCATGTGGGATCTTCCCGGACCGGGGCACGAACCCGTGTCCCCTGCATCGGCAGGCGGACTCTCAACCACTGCGCCACCAGGGAAGCCCCAAGAGTAGTCTTTAAAACAGCAACCAGCCTTGTGTCAGAGCCTATGCAGTGTACTTTACATGTACCGTCAAATTTGATTCTTCACACTAGCCTCCAAGGCGGGGTTGGCTATGCTCACTTGGGGAAGAGGCCCCCGAGAGTGTTCAGTGACACACCTGGAGGGAGCCGTTCTGGGACAAAAACCCGGATGCCCCCTCTGCTGCGTTCCACAATACCACCCCCGCCCTGGGATGCCCGGGCTGTCCGCCAGGCGTGTGCATAAGCCTCAGAGGCTCTTCCGTACAGGTGAGCGTCTCTACCCCCTCATCTACAATGTCCACACCCAGCTGGCTGGCAAGATCACGGGCATGCTGCTGGAGATCGACAACTCGGAGCTGCTGCTCCTCCTGGAGTCCCCAGAGTCCCTCAACGCCAAGGTGGGCTGGAGCCTGCGAGGAGCGGGGAGGCCTGGGGGCAGAGGAGGGTTACGGATCAAGGCCTCTCCTAGGCGAGCTGGTAGGCTGCTGCTTAGACAGGTGAAGTGTATGTATCTTCTTGCTGAAATCAGCTAACACCCGCAGAATGTGGAGGTGGCAGAGGGCCTTAGTGAAGGGCTGGCTACTTCAGCCCCTGCGGCCTCCCTGCAGCTCCCCAGGCAAGACTGTGCGACAGGGCGCTGTGTTCGGACCCAGCCCAAGGGTTAGGGTTCCCCCAGCCGTCTGGCAGTGTAGAAGGTGGCCGTGGGTTTCCGCCATGGGAGCCAGTGAGCACAGTCAGAGGGGGCGGCGGGGCTGGGCGCGGGCCTTCTCGCGTCCGGTGGGCCAAGGCGGGGAGGCAGGGCTCTCCCAGGACCCTGCTGGGGCAGCTGCACCAACCCCTCCCCCGTGTGTCCCACAGGTCGAAGAGGCCCTGGCGGTGTTGCAGGACCACCAGGCCACGGAGCAGACCTGAGTGCACGTGCGCCGGGACCAGGTGGGTGGTGGTCAGGGGAAGGGTGCCGCAGCAGCAGAGCCCAGAAGCGGTGCAGAGCTGGGAAGGGACGTTCACAGACTCCCAGAGAACGCTGTGGTGTCGCTGGCTTATCTCGGAGGCACCAAGGGGTTCAGGGGAAGCTGTGACGATCAAAGGCAAGGAGGACAGACTGCGTGATGGGAATTGGCGTGGACGCCAGTGCCGAGTGGGCCGGCCGGCCGGCCGCCCCGGCGGCCTCGCTCAGAATAGGCTGGCCTTCCCCCGGGCACCGCCTGGCCCCACGCAACCTGCCGGAACGCCTGACTTGGGCTCGTCTGTGTCCTTGCTTGAAGACTGGGTGTCTGCCATGCTTTAGAAACGTTTATTTTTTTCATCCCCAGAAAATGGACTCCTTACTCCCTTGGCTGACAAGAGAACCGCGTTTCCTGCTCTTGGCTCTAAGGCCCTGTGAACCGTAACTTCCCAACTGGGCTGTATCTGCACTTGAGCTTTTTGTGGAATGAAGGCTGGTCACCCAGCCAGCCTCTTACCTGTTGCTTTGTGCATTAAAAGTGCTGCAAACTCCGTCTTGTCTCCCAGGAGGCCTTCTTGTGTCAGAGGGAGGTGGGCAGAGCAAAGGGTAGCCTTGACTGGGCTGGGGCTTTGGCTGTAAGAAACAGGAACAGAAACCCAAAGGCACGCTGCGCTAACGCACACAGAGGGCGTGTAAACCGTGCACCAGACAGAGCAGAGCTGCCAGGAACTGAGCAGGACGACCTGTAAGGGCCCCAGAGGAGCAGCCGCCACCCACCAACCGTGTGGCGGGGGGCTAAGCGGTCGTCACACAGCACTGACGCTGCTGGTGCCCACGTGTGCACGGGGGTTCTGGGTGCCCGGCCTGAGCAGCCTGCAGGGCAGGGTCCTCTGGAAGCAGTGACCGCTTCTTCGCTCTGGGCCGGCTGACTAAGGCGTGTCACAACTCCACTCTTGTAGAAAGGTTTTCGGTTACCTTCCCAGGTTGTGATTTCCAGGTTATGCTGGTCTACCTGCCTCCTGTGTTTTCATGAGGAAATCAAGCTGCTTGCCTTGCGGGCCTCAAGAAGAGAAAGTCAGTCTGTTGTGACTAGATGGCATCTCTAAACCTGCCTAAAATCGGTGAGCGTCATGCCTGCTTGCGAGGCAGCAAGAAAAGGGGGTGCAGCTGCTCGCTTTGAAATGGTCCCCAGGCCAGGCCCCTGGAGTTTCTGTGACTCTAAAACCTGCTTCAGCCTGGAGGTCTGGTTGCTCAGAGACTCGGCCCTTGGAGGGGGCGGAAGCAGCGTGCTAACAGCTGAATGTTGCCCAGAGCCGAATGGGATGGGGGAGCAAAGGGACAATACGAACCCTGTCTGCCCGGCTTTCTGGAGTCAAACTTCTCCATTAAGATGAAACCAATTTAAGCTAAGACGCAGTCCGGGCAGGCAGGGGAGGCGGCCCAGCCTCACCCATACCACACTTGTGAGGCTGAAGGGCGCTCCCTGGCCCGGTCCTCCCAGCAGAGGCTTTCCCCGGTGCTGTTCCGTCTGCTTGGATTGCTCTTCCCTCCCCTCTTCACCTGCTGTGATCCCCACATTAGCACTTAATTCAGACTTGACTTCCTCAGGGACCCCTTTTCCTCCACGGGGTCAAACCTCCCTAGTCGAGGAAGGTGTTGCGACCACTCCTGCAGAACACTTAAGCCGGCCGCGGTTTCACTCTTGTGTGAGTAACTTCCTGCGTCCCATGGGACAGTCAGCCCTCCGAGAGCAGGGACCGTGTCTATTTACTCACCGCTGTTTCCCCAGCACTATACGTAGGGCCTGGCCCATGCAGACATTCCAGTAAATCTGATCAAAGAATGGATGAGTGCTCCATAAGCAGTCTTTTTTTTAAATTATTGCAAAGTTCCAAAATGAACCAAAACTGAAAAAGCATAAATGAAAGTACAACAGACGTTTATGTAGAAAACATTAATGCAGTAGCTTCAACACAGGGTTCAACAGAATCAGTCAGTTCAGTTCAGATTAACGTCAGCATATTACAAGGAACTAAGAAGCCTCGAGGGGTCCCTGCCCGGGACGGAAGGACACTGACTTCCAGGAGGCCTTTCTCCCTGTCTCGCCTTCCGAAGTGGCAGCCACACCTTCTGGCTCTTGAAACAGCTCAGGCGCCTCCACGCAGGGGGCGGCAGCACAGAGCCACAGACAAAGCCGGCCAAGGGCCAGGTCCTGCATCCCCACCAAAGGAGGGCTCGGCCAAAAGGCACTGGGGCTTAGAACACAGAGCGCTGTGCCAAGGACCGGGCAGGGACAGCAGCGCTGGAGACCAGCTCAACAGGCTGCTTTGGGTGTAGGCGGGTCAGGGCTTCCCGGTGCCCCCCACGCCCCAGCCCAGGTTGCTCAGGTGGACCACGGTGAGGGTGCCTGGTGACGCTGGAAGGGCAACTCACTCTGGAGCGTGCTGGGCAGAGACAGAGCCGAGGGCTTTGCCTATGAGGACCTGTCTGTGTGACCCGCTCGCTGTCTGCAGCACAGGGAGTTCGGAACAGGGAGAGACCTTTCCAACAAAACGTCTTGTTTTTGACTACACTGAGCTTAATGTGAACAGGCAAGTCCTCTTGAGGGGTGGGAGGCCGCCACATCTCTGAGGGGCAGAGGAGGGTGCTTCGGAGCTTGCCCTGGGGCATGCCGGGTCCCGGGAGCAGGCACGGAGGAAGGTGGTCAGGCAGAGGTGTCCTGCTGCCCCTCTGGGTTTTCAGTTTAAGCTCCGGTTAACCTCCTGCCGCAGCTTCTGTGCGGGACCGTTCCTGGGCTCAATCTGCAGGAGGTGGTTGATGTCCGCAAAGCTGGCTTTATAGTCCTGAGAGGAGAGAGAGGGTGTGGGGATGGAGCCCTGGCCCCGGGAGACCAGGCGGGGGTGGGGACCGCTGCTGAGCCCGCTGGAGGCCTGCCTGGAGCACCCGGGCCCCTGGACCAGAAGGCACGTGGCAGGTACGCCTCACCTTAGCCGTGCTCTGGAGGTGCCAGCACAGGCACAACTGGCTGGAGCCCTGTTGGTGCCTCCGGCCAGAACCTCTTTACCTTGAGTGCCTTGTAGGCTTGAGCCCGTCTGTAAAACGCCTTCACGTTCTTTCCGTCCAGCCTGAGGGCTTCCGTGCAGTCCTTCACGGCCTCCTTGTACTGCTTCAGCACCAGATGGCAGAGCGCCCTGAGGGGAAAGAGCAGGCCACGCAGCGGTCTGAGGAGCGCCCTGCGGCTCCCCGAACGCACCGTGCTGGGTGCTTCCTACCTCCCTCAGTCCTCACAGCCACCCAGCCCCCTTCTGCAGAGGTGACGCGGCTCAGAGGGTTGAAGGGACGCGCCAAGCTTCCACCACTACAGAGGGGCAGACCTGGGACTCAACCCGGGCTCGAATGACCCGAGATCCTGACCCTGTTCGGTGCTATTGTTCTCTCCGCCTTACACTCCCACACTGTACTCTTTCAAGCTATAAAAGGCTTCCCGAAACGCTCCCCTTGATAAAAAATTATCTACCTCAAGAAAAAAAACAAATACACAGGCTCTAAGTAAATAGCAGGCATGCTGACATGTTAGGGGCGAAATGTAAAGATGTCTACAACTTACGCATCAAAGATGATAAAGTGGATCAATAGATGGCTATAGTGACAAAGCAAATATAACAATATTCTTTTTAACTGAAGCGTACTTGATTTTATAACAATGTTTATGAATTTAATTGGGAAGTATATGGGTGTTCAATACATAATTCATTCAACTTACATTTTGAAAATTTTCACATTCTGCATCAACTGGGCGGGGGGAAAGTATATATTTGTATCTCTCTCATTCAATTTTAGTCCTTTCCCCCAAAGATAATCACTAAAAACAAAACAGATATCCATTCCACCTCACTTTTTAACGGATACGTAGTATTCACTTGTATGTACCATAATTTATTTTATTAATTCCTTATCAGTAGACATTTTTCAGTTTCCAGTTTATAAATAAACGATGCTACCATGAACATCCTTGCGCATAAATCTTAGACGCCTATGAGGAGGGACTGCTGCATCAAAAGGTACATACATTTACATTTTTGATTATTACCAAAATGCTCTCCAAAAACCAGCTGACCCTTGAGGAACACGGGTTTGAACCGCGCAGGTCCACTTATATGCAGATTTTTTTCAGTAACAAATTCTACAGTATTACACCATCTGCATTTGGTGGACTCCATGGATGCAGCAGAACCGCAGATACGAGAGGACGACTGTGAAGTATGCTGAGATTTTTTGACTGCAAGGAGGGTCAGTGCCCCCAACAGCCGCCTTGTTCAAGGGTCAAGTGTACTTAAGAACAGTTACTAACAGAGACTATTTTCCTGCAACTGTACCAACCCTGGGTCTCAACCTTTAACTTCTGCCAATATGAAAGAAAATAGCATCTGTTTTAATGTAGTTGCTTTAAATATAGGTAAAGCTGAGTGTCTTTATATAAGATTTTTAAATCTTATGAAATAAAATTTATCCAACTTCTTTAATGACTTCTGTGGGTCCCCCTCCACCACCACCAAATACCTTCCCCACTGCAAGACAGTTAACCCACACACTGTTCTAGAACTTAATGGTTTTACTTTTTACATTTGAAACTGTGATCCACTTAGAATTTATTTTAAAAAAAGGAGTGAGGGTAGGGATTCGGGTTCCTTTTGAACTCTCTCCAGCCAACCCAACACCATTTATTGGATAATTCCTCTTTTTTTCCCACACTTTATCATATCTAAGTTCTCTTATGCTGTTATTCTTTTCCTGACAAATTATGGAATTATTACCAAAAATGTAAAAAAATTCTAGTATTTTCACTGAGATTGCATGGAACTTATAAATCAACTTAGAAAAAGCTTCTCCTTGTAACCATTTAAAAGCAGGCACAAATTCTGTGGCATTCTTCCCATTGAAGAGGTCCTATGTTCTTTCCTCTTGAATGTAGGCAGGTTCTGTGACGGTTCTGACCAATGAGTACAGAGGAACGTATGAGTCCCAGTGGTCGGCTACAGGGGTCTTGTAGCGTCAGCCTGTTCTCTGGGAACACCTGCTCTTGGAGCCTTTAGCTGCTATGCGAGAAGCCAACTACCCTGAGGCCACCATGCTCTGAGGACACTCAAGCCAGCATATGCGACAAGGCTGCCAGGAGAGGAGAAAAAAGGCTCCAGCTTGCTCTATCAGTTCCATTCCCCAGCCATTTCAGTCATCCCAGCCCTGGTGCCAGATATGCAGGAGAAGTGTTTAGATGACTCCAGTCCCAGCTACCATCTTGTTGACCCTGAATGACAGACCCGGAGTAAGAACTGCCCTTTCCGAATTCCTGGCTCACGAATCATGAGCAAAATAAAACAGCTGTTGTCAGCCACTAAGTTTTAGAATAGTAGTCCCTGATCTAAATTTGAACATAGAAGAATTCTAAGGAAACTAAAGTGTTCTCTCAATGGACTCTGGTAATTTAAAGAATTAGCCAAATTTCTGGGAAGCAGAGGAACCACAGTATAAGCATTAGGTACTATTTGGTGAC